GGAATACCTCAGGAAACTCACGAACAACAGGCACAGAATCAATAGAAGGAACCTCAGCACTAGAATCACGAACATATGCCAAATAGGCCAAACACCCCTTCTCAACCATACGCCGAGCCTTTACATAAGAGATAAAACTACGGGTGGAATGAACAGGCGTTCCTCTCCACTCTAAGTGAGGCAAACCTGGCAAGGCTAAGGTCACAGTCTTGGCATGACAGTCCAAGATAGCGTGATAAGGTGATAACCATTCTATCCCCAATATGACATCGAAATCAACCATGTCTAGAAGAAGCAAATCTACACGAGTCTCAAGACCTCCAATCACAACTATACATGAACGATGGACTCGATCTACCATAATAGAATACCTACCGGTGTAGACACAAAAACATGAGCACTCAAAGAATCACTAGGCATGACTAGATATAGAGCAAAATAAGATGACACATAGGAGTATGTGGATCCCGGATCAAATGAAACTGAAGCATCTCTGCTACAAACCAAAACAGTACATGTGATAACTGCATCGAAAGCCTCAGCCTCGGGCCTGGCTGGAAGAGCATAACATCGAGGCTGGGCCCTACAACCCTAAACTATATCTCTAGGATGTCCTGCTGTTGGCTGGCCTCCACCTCTAGTAGCCTGAGCTCCACCTCTAGCACCTCTACCCCCACCTCTAGCAGGCTGGGCGGGTTGTGGAACACTCGGTTCCTGAACCATGGCACAAGAACCCTGATGCTGAGAGCTACTTGGTTCTCGAGGGCAAAACCTAGCAATATGACCCATATCACCACAAGTGTAACAAGCCCTCGGCTGTTGGGACTGCTGACCCTGACGACCTGAATGACCACCCTGAAAACTCTGAAGCGACGGTGCACTGACAGGAACTGGTGGTGCACTGTAGGACTACTGATCAAAATATTGCATATGGGGACCACGACCACCTGAAACACCGTGAGAAACCTGAAGTGTTGACTGAAAACGTTTAGGAAGATGGCCTCTACCATACGAATCTCTATCTCTAGACGAGGTACCACTGAATCGACCTAAATGACGATGCCTCTTGTCAGACCCCTGACCACCTCCCTGTGATAGAACCATCTCAACTCTCCTAGCCGCATTGGCCGCCTCCTGGAAAGAAATCTCACTCCCTGTCTCATTGGCCATTTGAAGCCGAATAGGCTGGATAAGTCCCTCAATGAACCTCCTCACCCTCTCTCTCTCTGTGGGAAGTTTGATAAGAGCATGACGAGCCAAGTCGATGAGTAACGGTCATAGAACCCTGCTGGAGACACTCAAACTGCCTCTTATAGATCTCTCTCTAATTGATAGGGAGAAACTTCTCCAAAAATAGCTGAGTAAAGTACTCCCAAGTCAAGGCTGGTGATATTGCTGGTCTAGCCAAGCAATAATATCTCCACTAAGTCTTGGCGGATCCAAACAAGCGAAAAGTAGCAAAATCGACCCCATTGGTCTCCACTCTCCCCATGTTCCTAAGAACCTCATGACAACTGTCGAGATAATCCTGGGTATCCTCAGAAGATGCACCACTAAAAGTAGTAGTAAAGAGCTTGGTGAACCTGTCCAACCTCCACAAAGCATCGGCAGACATAGCTGCTCCATCACCAATCTGAGCTACCATGTCTGACTGAACTGCTGGAGTTTGGAATTGGGGAGCTACCTGCTCCGGAGTGCGAGTAGTAGGAGTCTAGGCTCCTCCTCAAACCTGAGAGACGATTGGTGCTACAAGAAGCAAGCCTGCCCGGGTGACATTCTAGATAAGGCCCACTAGACATACCAAAGCATCTTGGAGTACTGGGGTAGCAATAAACCCCTTTGGGACCTGAGTTGGGCCCACCTAAATTGTCTGGGCCGGAACCTCATCATCTAAGTCAACCTGAGGCTCCGCCACTGGTGTTGATGCTTTGGGCTGAGCTCTGCCCCTACCTCGGCCTCTAGCACGGCCTCGGCCTCGCCCTATGCCCCTCATGGGAGCTGCTGCTGGGGGCTTGGGCTGCTGGGGGCTTGGGCTGCTAGTCGATGGATAAGGAAGCACGTGTTCTCGCCATCTGCGAATGAACAGAGTAAAAATCCAATTAGCATTAATAAAACAAACCGCACAACATGAAAGAATAAATGTGAAGTTTTTCCTAACTTTGTAGCCTCTGGTATAAATACAGATGTCTCCATACCGATCCCTCAGACTCTACTAAGCTTGTCCGTGAACTGTGAGACCCATGTAACCTAGACCTCTGATACCAACTTGTCACGACCCGAATTTTCCACTCTCGGGAGTCGTGATGGCGCCTATTAATGTGAGCTAGGCAAGTCGTCTGTTTGAACAAGTTACCTTTTTACCAATTTATATTCTTTAACAATTATAAAGCAATAACGTGTAGACAGCAGAAATTACAATGAGCGGAAGAAATGCAGTAAACTATCTGAAATATGCATCTAATATAACTGTTGGAGCCTCGACCACCTAGTACTGGTGTCACAGTTTCAAAGACGATCTAGGAATACTACATACAAAGTCTGAAAGATAAAAGATACACTGCTTCTGAACTAAGTAATGAAGTAGGAGTAAAGGGATAGAGGGAGACGCTAGGGCCTACGGATGCCTGCAGGACTACCTTGGATCTCCACGTGGACTGAAGGCAGCCACCCAATCTACGGTCCAAAAGCTGCTGCTCCGGGATCTGCACATAATGTAGAGTGTAGTATCATCACAACCGACCCTATGTGTTGGTAAGTGCCTAGCCTAACCTCGGTGAAGTAGTGACGAGGCAAGGACTAGACTACCAAATAAACCTGTGCAATTCAACTATATACAATGGAGAAGAAGAACAGTAATATACAGTCAAGTACGGGAGGGGTAACATGCTACGGGGGAACTATCAATTTAGAATAGAAAGACAACAAGTAACTGAAAGAACAACATATCTCAGATATAAACAAAGAATCAGAAATCAATAAGTGCACGACACCACCCTTCGTGCTTTTACTTTCATCCTCACCAAAGCAATCAAGTAATAAAAATGTGCACGGCATCACCCTTCATGCTTTTACTCTTGTCCTCACCATATAATCAATATAATCGGTACGGAATGGTACATTGTGCGGCATGGAATCACCCTTCGTGCTTTACACTCTTTCCTCACAAATCATACACGGCATCACCATTCGTGCTTTAACACTCTCTCCCCAAAACAATACATGGCATCACCCTTCGAGCTCTAACACTCTTCCTTACCAAAACAACAATAACAAATAATAAGGCAAGGGAATAAATGAATTTACAATAAGAATCCCGGCAAGAAAACAATAGTTCAACAATCATGTCCCGGCAAGGGAACAACATCATAAGAAGCATCAACATCCCGGCTAGAGAGATAACATTAAAAGCAAGAAATTCCCGGCAAGGGAGATAATATAATGATTCTCTATTCTTTTTTCACTTTTACTTCCTAACTCACTTCACAACTTGAGCCAATGCTCTAAAAGATTCAATAACCACTTATACTTTCACGCTTCATTATACAACTTGAGTCAACGATCCTCAATGTTCAAATATCACAATTACTTCCACAAACTTTTCCCAATAATAGAAATCATCATCAAAGCATGAAAAATACAACGAAGTCATAATAATCACAATATAAGACTCACGAGCATGCTTGACACCAATGTATAGATACTCGTCACCGTGCCTATATGCCGTACTCAACAAATACCATATAGAAAATAAGACTCAACTCTTAATCCCTCAAGCTAAGGTTAGACCAAACACTTACCTCGATGCCACAGACACAATTCAAGTCTCGACTATCGCTTTACTTATTGATTCCACCACCAATTCGCTCGTATCTGGCCACAAGTTACTTAGTTACATCAATAAATGCTAAATGAATCAATTCTAATGCATGAAAATGAGTTTTCTAAAGTTTTACCTAAAAGGTCAAAAATCGCCCTTGGGCCCACATGGTCAAAACCTGAGTTTCGAACCAAAACCCGATTACCCATTCCCCCACGAACCCAAATATGTAATTAGTTCCAAAATCTGACCACAAACAAGGTCTAAATCCCAATTATGCAAAAAGTCCTAATTCTACCCAAATCCCTCATTTTCTACCCTTAAGAACATGATTTAGGCCTAAAAATCTAATGGGTGTGAATAAAAATTGAAGAAAATGAGTCTAAGATTACATACCTATGAATTTGTGGTGAAGTTCTCTTTCAAAAATTGCCCAATTTGGAGTTTGGAAGAAGAAGTTATGAAATTTTGTTTTAATCCCGAGTGTGTTGTTTACTGTTTAAAATTCGTTGGGCAGACCTTCATCGCGTTTGCGATGGGTCTGCCGCATTTGAGAAGAGCAGCCTTCCTCAGGCTTACGCAATCGCGAGTCCTCTTACGCGCTCGTGAAAGGGTTGGCCCCCTGCCCTTCCTGTTCCCGGGCCTGTGCACGCGTTCGCGTAAAGGAATGATTACTTCCCAGACCAGCCCCCCATTTACGCTACGCGTTCACGGGACATGGGTCGTGTTCACATAGAGCAACCCCTAGTGCTCCGCGTTCGCGATCTCTACATCCCGTTCGCATTGAAAAAAATCCACCCCTGCCCATTTTTCCTTTCACGATCGCGAAGCACAGAGGGCATGTGCATCAGAGCAATAGTTTCTACAATTTTTCACAAGTTCGCACTACAAGAAATTGGATAATTAGTGGCGACATTTAGCAGAAACCCTATAAGTTGATACAAAATGTATAGTATCAGCAGCGACTTTAAAAGTCGCCATAGTTTGAATATATTTAGCAGCGACTATTTATGGGTCGCCTCTAAAGTGGCTAAAATTTTCACTCCCGCTAAAACTAAAAATTTGGCTCCATAATTATTGTGGCGACTACTGTAAAGTCGCCACTAAATATGAATTGCAGCGACCGGGTCGCTCCTATTATCTTTTAAAATAACAAAAAAAAATAAGCTAAAAATTAAAATAACAAAAGAAACACTAAAATCTGTCCAGAGACAGAAGTAGCGAAACTCTCATCTCGAACACATCGACTCAATGTGAAGAACTGTGAAACGCCCAAAATCCGTCTTCTATAGCTAGGAATCCCAAATTGAAACCCAAAATCGATCCTCTCTAGCTAGAAATCTGTCCAGATATAGAAATCCCAAATCGAAATCCCTCAAAAATCTCACCCCAATCAAAATCCCTCAAATCAGAATGTGAATTCGATTGTGTGTTTATGATACTTGCCGGAAACTTCATTTTGAAGCTAAATCTCAATATTGGAAGCTGGTTTGATGAGTTTTTGTTTGAATTTTTGAATCAGAGTGTGCGAAGAAGAAGACCACTGCTGCGGAAGTCGATTCAAAGCTTCTTCAACTTTGAGAAAAAGTACTTGCTTTAAGTTCGTTTAATCTCAAAATATCATCATACAGATTTGTTAATGAGACTAGATAAATTTCAACTTATCAGTTTCCTATTTGATGTCATCTACTTCCTTAATATTGTATCTTACTGTGCTTATGCCTTGCAGGAATGTGTTCAAGTCAAAAATCACTGTCTGTCTCACAGTGCAGTGACTAGGTTCCGACCGAGTTTGATATTTCTCCGCATAAGCCCTGTAATTTTGCAAGGCTCCACTTGTGGGATTATACTGGATTTTTTGTTGTTGTCCTGTAATTTCGTAAGGATCAGGGAGGCAGCTTATTTCTAGTTGTTCAGGTAAGAAATTTGTATGGTTCAGGCAGGTACAATGTATTTAATTTGTGTGGCCTTTGTTTGAATGATATACATTGGTTGGCTTTGTAGGTTTAATGATTTTAGTTGTTAATTTCCACATACTAAGGTCTTGTGATTCTCTGGTAGATGTGCCTATATATATGACCTAAGGCAATGATTAGAGATAGATACATTTGAAGCTCGAACACCCCTAACCCAATTGAAACAGAAACAGTATCCTCTACAACACCTAGCTCAAAGATGTTTATTTTCTGCCATCACAGTGGCTCAACGAACTGCTAATGTTAATTGGTTTAGTTAGATCTGTACACACTTCTATCTCCTCTACAACACCTAGCTCAAATTCTCTAATACAAAAAAACTTATAGAGAATAAGCTGGCTGTCCATGTGGGATCGGGCAACTATAAATGCCCAACAGCATGAAAAACAAATTACACAACTTCTCCCTATTTAACAACTCTCCTTCTTCAAATCAAATAACAACTCTAGAGAACTAGCAAGAAAAATATGACAATTCATATTTCAGTTGGGTTGGCTTTGTAGGTTTAATGATTTTAGTTATTAATTTTCACATACTAAGGTTTTGTTATTCTCTGGCAGATGTGCCTATATATGTGACCTAAGGCTGAAGTAATAACCCATGTATTGAATTTCGATTATGGTCAATTTTTGTGTACCAACGGTTATGGTCGATTTGGAAAAACTTGTCCAACGGTTGGACAATAGACTGTTTTTCTTAATATCTGAGTTGGAAGATGAAGCTGGCCGCTTTTGAACAAATTTTATTATGCTTTTCCTCTTGAATATATGCAGCTTAGGTCAATGTTTGATAAAATACGCAAAGCATGCGATCAGTATATAGATTAAAAAGGGGACAGCCTCACCTAATTCATGGATTCTTTTTATTTTTGGATCTATTGCTTCAATATAGATATGTTCCTTTGCTTCTGCCTTCCATTTTCTAACTACAGAGAAATTGCTCAATGCTGAATGACATTAGGCAAAGTAACAATAAATATATTCAGCATTACATTCAAAATACTATTAGCAAGTCTATCTTTAAAGTGAATGAGCAGGTTTAGCATATTGTCCAACTTCTTATATCCAATCGACTGTAAACTAGTTTTATTTAAGTGCCTTGGAAGTGAGTAAATTCTTAGACAGTGTATACAGTTTTTTGGCTGAAGCTACATATATATAGTTTCTTTTTCTTGGTTCATGGAAAGCCTAGTTTATGATGTCTTCGTCTTTATGCTGCTTTGACTGATGATGTGCTTCATCTTCACTCCTTTCTATTGGATGATCATGTTGGTTCTCGTGTTTGTGTTGCGTTGGAGAAACAAAGTGTAGTAGAAGTTCATTACAATCTTCACTTTCACACATATCCGGGCTACATTTGTAAGGTCCATCGTATCGTGATAATCCTGAGATATGGAACTCAGTTATTCCTCCACTTGGAGCTGTTGAGACTGCCGCCATTATTGTTGTATAATTGCTCGTGCCATCTAGTGCTAGTATTGCATTAGGATATTCTTGAGAACATCTAGTGCTAGTATTGCATTAGGATATTCTTGAGAACATCTAGTGCTAGTATTGCATTAGCATTAAATAGTTAACCAAATCATGACAAAAGTAGTAGCGAACCTCATTGATACAGTTAGTAATATTCTTGAGAAGGTCGATGACTTATATTTTCTTCATTGTTGAAGTCTTTAATTTGTTGGTGCACAAATTTTATATATGAATGATGTCTTATGGTTACCTCTATTTTGAGTAATTGAAGTGCGAGCAGATATCTCTAGCATCTGCCCCAATGAATCTTCCCTATATAGAAACACATTTTCTATTTTTGGAACCCATGTACTAATGGAAATATGGAATAGGTAGTTTTACTTCTATGAGATAAATCTCAGCTTCCATCTATCTTACTGATAGAGTTTCAGTAGGCTTCCATATTTTGTTTACCTGATAGTGCATGTCCAAGAATGTAGTAACAAAAATTTGAGATTAGTGTTAAGGCAGTTTTGGACTGTCTTGGTTGTTAATGCATATTAGTTATTTGAGTAGGTTCAGTGAATGAAAAAGTATAAGCACATGAAATTGGGTAATTAAGGCTAGGACAGGGGTAGAGCTTAAGTTAGAATAGGCTTCTATTCCTCTCACTGTCCAATACCTCTACTTTATCCGGCTTTCATGCAATTGTTGTATTCTCATTCTTTTACTGCGTGAAAACTTATGTTCTCACAGTTGTGCCATTTTATTTCACAATTGAAATAGCATAGAACAAATTTACTTTGTGTTATACTAATGTATTAGCTTATACTTTAATCGTCTATTCATGTTTTTGGATATAACAAATCTCATTATTATTCTTATATATATTACTTTGGTCTAGCAGGGACAGGGCACTTAGACAGTGGTATCGTTCAAGGATGGTGTGGAGCAAGGAGTAGTTACAAGGCACTTAATATTTTATCTTTTTGGGATATGTATATGCGCACAATTACAATGCACAATGAAGTGCTAGGTAGTATATATATGTAATTGACTTTTTAGTAATGATAATATTTATAATATTCGGCTTGAGAAATTCTTTTGGTGTTTGTCAAGCATTATTGGTTGTTTTAATATTGATAGTTAATTGATATGAATATCTCTATATGAAATTTTATAGAATTAGGTTCCTACTGGCATGGAAATGTATATAATTTTGGTCGTTATAATTGCTGAGAAAATAACTTTTAGTGGCGACAGAGTTTTGTCAAAAAATTTGTAATTGTTGCGATATATATGTTGCCACAGAATGTCAATTTCTTTTGCAGGGACTTTAGTCGCTACAGGAAACATTGTGTAGCATGGATTAATATTTTTTGTGGCAACTTTAGTCGCTACTAAATTACCTTTATAGTGGCGACATAATCTTGCCACTGAACATAAATATTTTTTGTGGCAACTTTAGTCGCTAATAAATAACCTTTATAGTGGCGACATAATCTTGCCACTGAACATAAATATTTTTTGTGGCAACTTTAGTCGCTACTAAAGAACATTTATAGTGGCGACCCATCTAATATTTGTTCTTATAGAACAATTTTTTGTAGCGTTTTTTCCAACTTTTTGTGGCAACTATGTCGCCACAAAATATGTTCTATTAGTGGCGACTACATTTTAGTCGCCACTAATAACCTTCAGTTACGGGTTTCCTTGTGGCAATACAAAAGTCGCCACTAATAACCTTTAGCAGCGACTCTGAGGGATGTTGTGGCGACTTTAGTCGCCACAATAAGGGTAATTTCTTGTAGTGAATTCAAAATCTTCCGAAACTCACCCGAGCCCTCGGCTCTCCAAACCAAACATGCATACTAACTCAAAAACATCATATGAACTTATTTGTGCGATCAAATCTCCAAAATAACCTCTTAACCAATGAATTTAATATAGAAATCTAAGAAAAATCTCAAAACTTTCAAAGTATCAACTTTCACAACTACGGGTCCGAATCACCTCAAACGACTTCCGTTTCTTACCAAATTTCACAGACTCGTCTTAAATCACATGTAAGACATGTACCGGGCTCCAGAACCAAAATACGGCCCGATACTATCAAATTTTTAACGCATTTCATTTCCAAAACTCATAAATAATTCCAGAAAATAATTTTCTTTAAAAATTTATTTCTCAGGTGTGGGACCTCGGAATTCGATTACAGGCATACGCACAAGTCCCATATTTTCCTACGGACCCTCTAGGATCGTCAAATCATGGGTCCGGGACCGTTTACCCAAAATATTGACCGAAGTCAACTCAAATCCATTTTAAAGGCAAAATTTATTATTTTTCACAGATTTTCACATAATGGCTCTTCGGCTACGCGCCTGGATTGCGCACGTAAATCGAGGTGATGCTGAAAGAAGTTTTTAAGGCCTCGGAATGCAGAAGTTACTTTTAAAATAAGTGATAACATTTTGGGTCATCACACCCCGCCCCCAAATATCCTTCTGTCAAGCTAAACCAGCCTGTTGAACTGTTGCATAATGAGAATCAATAACTTATGAAAGATAGTGGGAAGAGTATGCAGCAGGAGGATGGTAACGCAATATCAAGAACTGGGCAATTAAAACCTACAGGCACTGATACAAAGCAGAATTTTTGAGAGAGTTTAGGAGTTCGACCAACAATCTCAAAGGACATTGTTCCTGTTGAGGATGTCAGCCCTGTGACAGACCATGTAGCTACTGATACCACGCCAACATTACATGTTTCCAATCCAAGAAAAGCTAAAATTATAAAGGAAACACAACATGCCATGATGTTGAACAACAATCCAATGACCAGGCCAATCATGATCACTTTAAACACATCAGCACAAGAGATTCCTTCATAGTTAATGGAGTCATTTGGGGAACAAGAAGGTCATTTGGGGCAGCAACTTATATCTACAGGGAATAACCAACAATTGGTGAAAGGTATGGCCCCAATATCTCAAGCAAATTCTACAAATAAGGTACCGGTTTCTAAGGAACAATTAACTGTTACAAGTGAATTCTTGTGCAATCATAAGACTTGGGCCTATCAAGTAGAAGAGAATGAATAAGATGAGATGAAAAACGACAACTCGCACTGCATGTTATAGAAACTTCCACCAGTACATAAAATCAGACAACTAACAACAACTCACAACTGAAATATTCAATTTCTCAGGCAATATTTCTAAGAAAATGGAAATTGAGAATTTCTTGTAGGAAGAACAGTTTAATCTCTGATGCCCCTCAAAAATGCAGTGAAGTTCTATAATTTCAACATAGATTTAGGATCCTGGTATCTTTGTTATTGACTTATCTAAGTATATCAGAATAGCTGGGATGCCAAAAAGAATCTTGATGCTAGAAAGCTTCTGTAATAAAGCTTTTACAGGTGACTTCAATGTTTCCTTGGACTTTACAATGACAACCCCATATAATATTCTCTAGGCTAAAAGACATGATTTCCCCATCAGATTAATAATCAAGCCATCAACCAGAGAATTATTTTCAAAAGGCAGCAGGTGTTGTTAGACAAATCCAGAATCAAAGAGACTTCAAATCAAAGATCAAGCAATTCTTTTTTAAAGCCAGATTCAAAATATGTAATTTCAGCCAAATTTTATATTCTTAGATGGAACAGCTTGTCTTATTGACATTGATTTGAGAAATCAATACACCATCTTTTTTAGGAATATATAATTTTGGTGAAGATTAGCGTGTTAAATTTAAGAGCGACTGGCTAACTGTTTGGTACCGTAGAGTTCATATGTGAAGCTATTCACTGAAGAAAGAAAAATTACTAATTACGGGCTCTTCTTTTTTACTTAGAATAATATAAATAAATACCCTTCTAACAGTGTCTAATGGTGATACATCACAAATTAAAAAGATACAGGAAGAAACAGGAAAATACAAATGCACAAATCGACAATGTAACTTAGGGCATGCGGAAGAAACCAAAAGGACTAAAATTAGGTTACCATAAAGGTACTCTTTATAGAGTAAAATACGATTTTCAATGTATTAACCCGTTATATGATTTAATCTATTGATCACCTGAAGATGATGATGAAGGCTGATCAAACACTATCTTTGCAAGCTGTGCGTATTTACTCCCTAGCTCATCATATTTACTCTCTAGCCTTTCCAAACGTCCTTTTAGTGATTCATTTTCTTTTACAGTAGCATTAAGCTTTTCCGACAATGCAGCTTTAGAGGAGTTACCATCTTTCAACTCCTTAGCGGTTATCCCACCACCAAATCCAACTACATGACTCTATTGCTGAGGTTCGAAGCACCTTTCTACAACCTCAATGTTTGTAAGAGACTATTCAAATAGCACCAATTATTTGATTTTATCCTGTAAAATAAAAAATAATTTAATTAAAATAATACAATACAATAAATAAATAATATAAATTAAAATTATCAATAAACATACATAGTTCTCATTGGTTTCAGGTTCGACAAGCTTGTTGTTCTTCTTACCAGTCTCAAAAAAAAAAAAAAATTGCCACATCTGGTGGATTGCCATCTTTACCTCCCTTCACATATTTCTCAAAGCTTGTTGTTCCTATCCAGCCTATCTTTCTTTTTCTTTCCCCTTATCTTTATAAATTTTTTTTAGGGAAAAGAAGTATAAAGCTAAAACATATTACTCCAGTAGATTTCTTTTAACTTCTTAACAGGTCATGTATTCAAAGTTACATGAATACCAAGCTCAGCTGCACTGAATATGCATGATCAAATTAGGTAAAAATTGATATTCAATCGACACTCAGCAGGAGACTACTAAGTGATAACTCTGATATATAGAATTGTTAGTACCTTGCGTTCTATAGTTCAAGGCATAATACGCAAGAGCAACGTATGATCACTCAATGATAGAATTATTACGTTGCATTCTTTAGTTTAAAATACAGTACGCACTATACCCTTTCTTTCTCTTATATTTTTTGCCAACCGAGCATAAAAAAATATTTAAAAAAATTAGACACCCGACCAATCGTGATCATCAAAGTATGGTCATAGAGGAGGATCCAGTGCCTAGTTATGCTTTAGTTTAAACCCTATATATATATATATATATATATATATNTTATTTAGGAATCTTACCTTAGTCCAAGCTTCCCTTATATTAAAGTCTAATTAAATATTTCCTTGCCTAAACTCCAGTATGGGACGCCCTTATTTCATTCACGACCAATTCAACACAAGTTCAAGTTCTTTTATGTTTTCTATCTTAGACTAGTGTCTATCAGAAATTCAATCCATGATCATTAAAAGCTGAACTTCCAAATATGCTAGGTCTATATCTTTTCTGCTTAAATTGGAATAGTGGTTGCAGTCCAGCATTAACTTTATGTACAACAATTTATAACTGTATGTACTGAATATCCATTAATAACTTTCAAATAAATTTGTATCCAAAGTTAAATCGGTTCACCTAATATACAAGAAATGAAACCTATAACAGCCTTTGGACTTGTCAGCATGAACATAGTTCAACATAGATCTTGTATTAATAAAAATTAGACTCGTCATGTGGGTCTATTAAATGGCGACACGTGTCAACAAAGTTTGAATAAAAGTGAAGAATAACATGTAAAGATGATATGTGAAATACCCCCGGGACAGACCATACTCGTACCGTACCTATTAGCCTCGTACTGATCATCATGAAATAGCCTGGATCAGGTGCGGGAGAATATCTCATAATTACAAATGAGGAAGGAATCAATTAATCCCGAATTATATGGGATTTATCATCATTACACCATCAGTTACAAATCAATTATTAACAAATGCAATAAATGATTGTAACAGTCCAAACAAGGCGATCAATTACAAGATTGACTCAACAGGCACGAGATTGACTCAACAGACACGGGATTGACACATTAGTTACGGAATTAACACATCAGTTACGGAATTAACTCATCAGTTATGGAATTAACTCATCAATTACGGAATTAACTCATCAGTTACGGAATTCCAGCATTTACACAATTGTTACGAATCTTCCAAAAGTAACAGATGGATCGAGTAAATGCTAATAATGGACCCATAATTCAAGGAGA